GTCTGCTATGTCAAGGACCCACCCGTCTTTCTTACTTGAAGATGTTTTTATGTGTGGCTTCCTCTGATTGAGCCTTGTCGGTGCCTTCGAGCTAGGCAAGTCGCCTTCTTACTCTTTGTTCGGTTTCCCTTGCAGAACATCATACCTGTTTTGCAAGGGCACCTGGGAAGGTGGAGCAGTTACTGGGGGGAGGGCACGCCTGCCATCCCTGTTGCGCTGGGAAGAGACTAATTTCCATTCTTGTTGGTCCCTATCCTCTAAGTCCTCCCGTTTTCTATGGTCAACCTGGAGTAGAGAGGCTAAGGAGCCCTTTGCCTCGCTCTCAAGAGCTTCTTCTACCCATTGGGCCTGCCTCAAGGAAGGCAGGGTACGGCTCAAATGGTCAATCTCCTCCTCACACTCCCTGATCATTCTCAGCCTACTTATGTCCTCCCTGAGCTCCACTATGTAGAGAAGCTCCTCTACTTGGGCTCACCTCCCACAGGCATGCTCACTGCTGCCATCAGACAACAGCGTAAGAGCAGGGCACATCCTGCAGCTCGACACCTGAGCGGTAGCTTGCTCCCACCGTTGCTCTGCCTGGCAAGCTGCGTCTGCCTTGGTGGGTGCGTGGCTGAAGGAGGCCATGGCTCTCTGCCTGGTGGTAACCAGTGCTGGCTGGCTGATCTGGCCAGGCCTCAGCACCCTTCCTGCTCGAACTGCCACACAAACTGCCGTGCCATGCCCTGTTTGCCCATCCTGTTTGCTGCGCTTCGGGTCACTTGTGCTCCCTGGGGGCTGCTTTTCTACCTGAGGGGATTAACCGTCACTGTTGTCCAAGAGTGTCTGATGATAGACTGAAGATTCAAGTTTCTAGATTTGGCTCTTTGAATAGAAAAGTGACCAATAAATGGCAAGCCAATGTTCATAATTTAGGTTTGAGCTGTCTCACAGAAACACTGTGTGGAGCTAGTTATTAGTATCATGCAGGATGTCTAAGTGCTCTGCTAGGGAATCTGCAGACCATGCAGATTCATTGCTACAGATGGTATTAGCAAGGACATGAGAATCCCTCTGGAGCCCCTCAGAAACTCTAAGTAGTACAGAAAATTGAATGGAAGTCAGGTTAAAGGAATGCTAGGTCTTCTCTGGGAAGTATAATCCAAAGAAGGAGTGTAGAGAAGGGCATGAAGGACAAGTAAGTAATTTGATTCAACAACTATGCTCTTCAGTGTGGGAAAACAGCTTCTAACTGCGCTTTTCCTTATCTAGAGTTGTCTTTTATGACATATGTCCATCTTCTGTACAAGGACTTGAAGTCTATGCTAGTTTCCTATGAAATCCTTAGAAGTTGCCACTGCTTCAATAATAGCCTCAACTAGTAAAGTACATTACTGGTTGACATGAATTCAGCTGAAATTATCCAGTCCTAATCACTGCATTACCAATAAGGTATAGGCAATTTGGAAAGAATTAAAATGCGATTGTAGAAACAAGAAGAGTTGAATTATAAGAAAGACTAAAGGACTCAAAGTCCTTTAAGCCAGAGTAGAAAAATCTTGTGTCAGGACTGATTTATATATGAAAAGTACTTGATAATAAAGACACCACAGAAAAGGAAGCAAACTCTGTGTGATAGAGCATTACAACACTTGGAATTAGTGAGAGAAGATTTAAAAAGCACTGAACTGGAAGCAGCACATAGGAGCAGACTTCCTGGCCAGAGGACTGGGGTTCAGAATGAATGAACCCTGAACAAAGCCGAAACCAGAATTCCTCTGACAAATAAAAGCGAACCAACATACTAATAATATAATCCTGGTTCAGACTTGTAATTAAACCCAGACTGTAAACGTAAGTGTGTGGTGTTTATTTATGTGATGCCAATCCACAGCAATTTCAGGTCTGTGTTGTAGATCATAACATTGCTTCAATGGTTGGTTTTGGTGAAGCCAGATGATTTAAAACCTTTAAGATGTTTTTTTAATATCCTGCCATGAATTGGGTATGGTAGCTACCACATAATTTTCATACACTGTATAAATATACCTATATAAAAATATATACATATACAATAAATGTGTCTATTTTTTTATTTCCTGGAGTTATTTTTTCCTGCATTTTAGTACACAGAAATTAGTAGCTAGTAGTTACAGTGATTAGTAGTTAGCTGCTATAAACACTTCATTTCTTTCTTGTAACTAAGTCTAGATGATTTATATTACATTTTGGGAGCTGTTTACAGTGAAACACTGCAAAGACAGTGATAACTGTATAACATATATGCCTCAATGACACACAACTGAGCAAAATCTGAAAGATATCTACAGAGGTCTTGTAACTTTTATACATCTGCTGTTTTGATTTTGGCTATGTATACGGTGAACTCCCATATGTAACAGAAGAGAAAATACATACTTTCATTGTATATATTGTCTGTACAATCTATTCTTGGTTACATATACATGTCTCTGCCGATCAGTGTATGTCCTCAGGCATAACTCCAAGTTTTGTAATGGTCTTTTAGGAGCAGTGCTCCTTTTGCTGACAGACTTCTTGCAGACACTGTCCAAGTAATTTTTGGCATTTTGTTGTTGGTTTTGGACACCTTCAAGTCATTGTTCATATTTGCAAAATCTGTGTGGCTTTTCTTCTCTACATGTAAAGACAGCTTCTCTTTGCTAAGTCCTAGTTCCTAAAGGTTCAAAACAATTTCCATTACACTTTCTGCTGGAGGTACCAGCTTTACTGCATCCGGTAAAACCATGTCCTGTTTTTGCAATATCTCAAAAACGTAGGTAATACCAGGCACAAACCAAAGTTGATAGAATCTTTAGAATGGGCAGCAGGCATGAGTGCAGCACTCCCTCTTGCTCTGTTGTGTGTACTTTGCCAGCTATGGCATTTACAGACACTTTCTTGATTGTAACAGCAATCTCCTTCACCATCACTAGTGTTAGCATATGGAAAAGGTGGCATGCAGCAATCTGATGAACTGCTTAGTATGACAGCATATTAGCATGTCCAGCATAAAATGTGCGGTGTTCTTTTTG